CCAACCCCACCACCCCACCACACGCCTTCCGCCCTCCTTCCTAAAAACCTTTGGCAGTTAAAATAACACAAAGCCCGTAAATATTCACCAAATATTTTGTTTTTGTGATATGCGAAGAACAAATGTTAAAAAAACACACCCGATATCTGGATATTGGACAAATCGAATAAGTCTCTAAAATATTTAGTAAACAAGCCTGTTTTGTTATATCATATCACTATCTATCACTAAGTGCCCCTGTTGAAGTAATTGTCTCGTCTGATCTGGTCCTGCCTAGTCACCCAGTGATAGTCACGACAACCTTCACCCCGTTCCAGATCCTGTCTGTATAAGCACGGCACTGGGGAGTATGGAAATAATTCCCATGTGCATAAAACCCTCAACATACTACATGCTTTAGTAATTGCATCCGAGAATGTCAGAAAGATTCAATGTCATAAATAATCCTTTGTGAGTCGTTAACAGCTTGTTAAACGCACAATTTTCTCATAACATAAGTTCAGTGCATCTTATTAATAATTATTGTAATTACTCCCAGTCATTGTCATTACATCATGCGGTTTACACAGCCAAGAGCCTTGTCTGAAATACATTAACATCAGTTCTCAGAGGGCCGGTCGGGTAGCCTAGTGGTTAAAGCGTTCGCTCGTCACGCCGAAGACCCGGGTTCGATTCCCGACATGGGTACAATGTGTGAAGCCCATTTCTGGTGTCCCCCGCCGTGATATTGCTAAAAGCGGCGTAAAACCATACCCATTCACTCACTAAGATGCTGGATTAGATACTTTAGTCTTATTTGTTTTAAATATACTCTGGTTTCATTTCCAGTCTATGTCTTAACCTTGTAGGGCGGTCGGGTAGCCTGGTGTTTAAAGCGTCGCTCGTCACGCCGAAGACCCGGGTTCGATTCCCGACATGGGTAAAATGTGTGAAGCCCATTTCTGGTGTCCCCCGCCGTGATATTGCTGGAATATTGCTAAAAGCGGCGTAAAACCATACTCACTCACTCACTCACTCACTCACTTAACCTTGTAATTTGTACTTGACATATGGTGAGGTGAAATAGGGTTTAACGTCGCGTTCAAGATTATTGCACTTATAAAACGGCGTGCATGTGCTTGTGTGTAGCTGCATGTACTTGTTACATGCGATCCCACTCAGACACTATACTGACTCAAAGCTGACCAGTCCTTGTTTTAGTCCCTTATGCCGAAAAACCGGGTAACAACAAGTACCATCTTTTAACGTCTTTTGGTGTGACGCTGTCAGGGATCCAACCATCAACCACTAGACCACGGAGGCGGCCGTATCTGACGTGAAGCTGAGATATTTAGGAGATAAATATAATGTATTTTCAAATGTAGAACTAGGTTACCTGTAGGTTTAACCTCGCTAAATTGAATTTGGAACCGAACGCGCAGGTGGGGTTTCAAATGTTAAATTCAAATTTACCTATTCTAAATAAACTGATCGCGACGATAAACCCAATTTCTCCACATCTAAATAAAGCCTATATCGAGGTGGTCGTATTCGAGATTAAAACTAGATACTCGTGTTAAATTTTCATAATATATCGAGATAATAGTATTCGAGATAGCAATGTAAAGATGAATTCGCATGTTCGAGACAACGCTACATTAAAATAGTCGCATTCTAGATGATCGTAATATCGAGATAACAGTGTGCGAGATACACGCTAATTGACATGTGTAATAAACTGCAGAGCAAAAAGAACCATCCACTTGAAAATGGGACTTGACCAAAACATTATAAATGTTATGAAAACGTTCCTAGGCTGCATACTGCAAACCTTAAGATCCAAAACACATCAAATACATTACCATCGAGTAACCATTTTTAGCTGCTATCAAACATGGGTGTGAAATGTCTTTTGCCCCGCAGCTGATGGTTACGCCATTCTGATGAGAGAGAGAGAGAGAGAGAGAGAGAGAGAGAGAGAGAGAGAGAGAGAGAGAGAGAGAGAGAGAGAGAGAGAGAGAGAGAGAGAGAGAGAGAGAGAGAGAGAGAGATTCTTTATTTCCTCCAGATGCGATTCCGAAGATTACAATGAATATATATTCAATTACACGCAGTTAACACAATAAAAAAAGGCATAACATATTTACAATTACACACAGTTTATCAAATTCAGATACCTAAATGATGACAGATTTTCACTAGAAGATATATATCAAAAGATGCCTTAGTTTGTACAGATACGAGGAGAACTGAAGTATAATAGTTTCCCAGGTGTGTTGATCCAGATTGTGAGAAAATTTTGTTTCAGCCCCAAATAAGACTGATAACATATCTGTTTCATCTTGCATTTCAAAATCAACATATTTTTTAACGTCAAGTACGTCAATGAGAGAAGAGAAAAACGCATTTCTTTCTGATATCAGCGCTTCACAATGTAAAATAACGTGGCTGTCATCTGTCTTCATTCGATACTTTTGTAAAACGAATTTTGAAATTTATGTAAATAGTAACCATTCCATGTTTGTCAGTCATTATAAAGTCACATGATAGCGGAGTTTGTACAATGGTAAACGGCCTTGACAGATGCACCATCTGGATCACAAATCGATGAAAGTATTAATAACGAAATTGTGACATTTTGGATCAAAGTGGCGCGTGGTGCTTCAGCGCAAGCACAACAACGCCCGGCGGGAGACACAACTATATGCATACGGATAAACTGAGCGAAATGTCATCACAGAAAAAAAGAACTACTTATTATAATCGATTTAAAGCAGCTCATCTAATTTCGCCCTGTACGTATTACGAGTGGATCAATTTGAGAGTTATTTGGGAATTATGATTTTGTCAATAACTAGGTTACATGTCAGTGTCTGGTGTATTATCTCATGGACAATACACATATCACATATCTTAGAGTTTGAAGCTTGAGTGGCGATTGCATGACTAAAGCCACGAGAAATGTAGTTCCAGAGACACGAGTATATGGACAGGTTTGTGTTTGCATAAATATTGTAATGATCCTAAAACGTTAAGTCTGATTGGTATTTTTTTTCTGTCAGTCTTTATGTCTTGAAACGTTTGATATGGTGATTCATTTAAAGTGTCATCTTTCTCAGTCTTTAGAGTGAGTGAGTGAGTGAGTGAGTTGTGTTTAACGCCGTTTTTAATAGCATTCCAGTTAGTTAATGTGGGAGGAAAGCCCGAATTGACGCAGGTCTTAGACGTTTACCTCTTTGGTGAAACCCACGAGCACGGGTATGGTGCTGACAAACCTAGAAACATAACCGGGGCGAACCGGGGTTCGAACCCACAATCATAGGTTTCTGGCGTGCCCAAGGGACTCAACTCTGCACAGCGAATCGCGGCGCCTCAGACGACTGGGCCACTTTTGCCCCAAGTCTCTAGGTCTTCAAATCTAAAAACATGTTTCACAATTGCAATAAGTGACTGTTCTATTACATTATGCAATTTATCCTTACCATGATGCATACATGATTCAAATTGAGAAACCATTGGTTTTCTTGCTGTCATCGAATACCACTGAATCATACCACTGGTAAATACCACTGAATCATACCACTGGTGTATACCACTAAATCATATCACTGGTGAATACCACTTAATCATACTACTGGTGCATACCACTAAATAATATCACTGGTGAATACCACTTAATCATACTACTGGTGCATACCACTAAATCATACATCTAGTGAATACCACTAAATCATACCACTGGTGCATACCACTAAATCATACCACTGGTGTATACCACCAAATCATATCTCTGGTGAATACCACTAAATCATACCACTGGTGCATACCACTAAATCATACCACTGGTGCATACCTCTAAATCATATCACTGGTAAATACCACTAAATCATACCACTCGTGCATACCACTAAATCATATCACTGGTGAATACCACTAAATCATACCACTGGTGAATACCACTAAATCATACCACTGGTGTATACCACTAAATCATATCACTGGTGAATACCACTAAATCATACCACTTGTGCATACCACTAAATAATATTACTGGTGAATACCACTTAATCATACTACTGGTGCATACCACTAAATCATACATCTAGTGAATACCAATAAATCATACCACTGGTGCATACCACTAAATCATACCACTGGTGTATACCACTAAATCATATCTCTGGTGAATACCACTAAATCATATCACTGGTGCATACCACTGGTGAATACCACTAAATCATACCACTCGTGCATACCACTAAATCATATCACTGGTGAATACCACTAAATCATACCACTGGTGCATACCACTAAATCATACTACTGGTGAATACCACTAAATCATATCACTGGTGAATACCACTAAATCATACCACTTGTGCATACCACTAAATAATATTACTGGTGAATACCACTTTATCATACCTCTGGTGAATACCACTAAATCATACCACTGGTGCATACCACTAAATCATACCACTGGTGAATACCACTAAATCATACCTCTGGTGAATACCACTAAATCATAGCTCTGGTGAATACCACTAAATCATATCACTAGTGCAAGCCATTGAACCATACCACTGTTCTTTACCAATGGTGCATACGCTGATCCACACCACCTGAAACATACATTGATCCGATACATATCGATCCAATAAACGATCAAAAGGTAATGTTTACATGTCAATATTCAGTTCCATTCATCACTCTCAATGCAAAGCATCATACCTTCGATTTCGAAGAAGCTGGCTGAAACACCAATACCAAATACTACATTTATTAATACAGGTCAACGTTCCACGCCAGAAATTACATGGATGTATATCATTTACAGACAACACGAAACGGTAGAACTGTATCATACCATTATAGCAAACCAGTGTTCAATGCTACAAAGTACCAATGCCTCTTCTCTACGTAGCATTACGGTTCAATGCTACAAAGTACCAATGCCTCTTCTCCACGTAACATTACAGTTCAATGCGCGGTGAATTATATCGGCCATGTTCCTGTTTCAGAAAAGTAAAAGACAAAATGTCACACGCTAAAGCTCCCCCACTGGTTCGTCAGATGACGGAGGAGGAGATAAAAGAACAAAATACGAAGGTGAGGGGTTGGACGCCGACGAATGCATCTCATTTATAAATCACTAAGGGCATTACGGAGTCGCCAGTACCCGAAATGAGTTCAGTCGGTTGCAGTGTGTGACTGGTTGATAGTTTGGCGTTGATTGTGGTTCATGCTATTAACCATTGGTTTGGTTGGCCTTCATCATTTGTATGATGTACGGGCAACAGTGGCATTTAAAAATGCACTCACTAATGCTTACATATCTGATTTCTTTATGCTTGAAATACATCCGTGAAGATCCGGGGTAGAATAGGTCTTCAGCAACCCATGCTTGCCGTAAAATGCGACTATGCTTGTCGTAAGAGGCGACAAACAGGATCGGGTGGTCAGGCTTGCTGACTTGGTTGATGCATGTCATCATATCCCAATTACGGTGATCGATGCTCATGATGTCAGTCACTGGATTGTCTGGTCCAGACTCGATTATATACAGACCGCCGTCATATAGCTTGAGTGCGGCGTTAAATAACAAACAAACAAACAAAACAAAACATTCTGTCACAAAACAAATACGGAGTATCTTTTCACCTAATGTTTGTGATATTTTCCAATACACATGAGAACAAAACAAGCTTCGTGTCCCTCGTATAAAGCGACGTGTTGGGATAAAAATGAAACCCTTATGAACGTTTACGTCCTCTCCAGTTGAAGTATCTCGAGGAAGAATTCAACTGCATGGATGTGACCGGCAACAACGTACTCAACTACGGGGAATTCGTCAGGCTGATGAGGCTGCTGAGATACCCTACCGGGCACGAAGGGGCAAAGGTAGGCACACTGTTTCAAGGATGAAGCTTCACATAAACGTCTTGTTTCTTAACGGTGTATATCAAACATACGACAGAAGTCGTAGAGTGCGACGTCAGCATTACCGAAAGCGCCTGTTAAATCCCCACCAGACAGCAACAATAATGGCATATTCACACACTACGATTTTAAATGATTCCTTCAAGTTGAAGAAATTTTTGTCCGGTCAAATAGCCTGTAGCTAGACAATGATCCATGTCAGGTTCAGTCTACATTGTACCAGTGTAAAATTCGAATAAACACACATGCAAAGTTCTGCTGAGTCAAAGGTGCTTGCCCAATTGGCTGCTAGTTTGTCCGAGCATTGTGCTCCTTTAAAGAAGGACTACGCTCAGCGATCTGGTTGGCACACGGTTAAGACGTTTGACCCATGTGGAAAACCGATACAGCGTCCCTCCTACAGACTCTGAAACAAAAATATCCGAAAACTATCAAACAAATCTGCAATACTAGGCAAATCTAGATTTATTCAGGCTCTGAAAAGAGGACATTATCTGGGCTACTTTCAATTATTTATTACAATTTAACATCCACGAAAACCACTATTTTCCAGCAGTGTAAGTCTGGATGTTTAATAATGGTTTAGTTAGGAGACAAACAAAGACATTTCTGAATGAATTGACTCAAACTTGCAAGGACTGACAATTGAACAGAGTCGAGTCATCTTTAAAGATATGTAATACGTTGTTCAGTGGTCTTAAAATTGCTGTGAATCTCTTGCAGCAAATTTGGCTGAAGCAATTAGGGAAGAATGAGAGAAGCATCATGACGAAGGATGAGTATGTGAAGTTGATGACGTCAGATACAACCCTAGAGAAGCTGTGAGTATCTAACTGGCCCCCTCCCTAATGGTGTATTACCACGTGAAATAGAAAATATTCCAGAAACCTTTCTCTGAAGACTTGTTTACAGATTGAGTGCTGCTACTTTTGAACTGGTTCACTTACGAACGCTGATGAAACTGTTCATATAACACACAGCTTCCACAAACAATCATCAATATGAGCATCGAATGTCACACGGAGTCACATAACACACACACATAACAACAGCTGTGACAGCATGTCTCCTTGTCCTGTCATATCACTATCTATGCAGAGTGCGGCTTACAATGCAGGCTTGTCGGTTCAATGCTAGATTATTTACAGGCTACCATCGTATGGCAGCGGTGCTGGTGTGTGGCATTAAATACCAAACAAGCAGATTGTGTGAGCAGTGGGTGCTTCCGGTGGGGCGAACATGCTTACCTCACGAACACCTGTGTCATCACTGATTTCAGTGATCCATTCATATAAGTTTCACCTCACAGCCTTCGAGCACAATGGAATCTGTTTCAGCGGATAATCGGTTTGGTTGTTCTCTTGCGTTGATGTTTGTTGTTGTTATTATTATTATTATTATTATTATTATTTTTATCATCATTATCATCATCGTCGTCGTCGTCATCGTCATGTTTTTCGCCACTGCTTTGCCGGTTGTGCCCGATGGAATCCTTTTCGGAAGATGGTCGAGACTGATTGTTCTCTGACATTTTACATTCATCATGATAATGAATTAAGCGACAAAACCCTTTCCATATCCAACAGAAATCTCTGCATTTAGCAGAGTCGATAGCACGATTCCGACTATATCATAAGCAAATGTTTATGAATCACTATCAAATAGTGATGATACCAGGTGTTCGCTAAAAAGGTCAGCGTATCCTTCTCCACCGTGGCACCCGTCACAAACACACGCAAAGGCAAGTCAATTGTTCACCTGAGCAAACACAGGAACATATGGTACAAGTCTAAATAGGGAATTGCGTCGGACATAATCTTTGTCACTGATGCGTCAAATCTGGAAATGTCCTCCACATGACTACCATAAAACTTTTGAAAGCTTCACTGAGGCCTTGAATGTTGTAATCTTGATCAAACAACCTCTGAGCAAGAGTCGTATGACGCTTTTTGAAATCTTGGTAGAAAGAGCATGTTCCGTTGTAGCTAAAAAGGTTGTAAAATGTAAACACCAAAGACTGGAGCTGCTGGAATATTGCTCGACATGAAAGGAAAGTTGACTGTTGGAAAGTTCAAGTAACCCATTGCTATAATAATAATAATAATATTAATAATAATAATGAGTGCATTTATAATGCGCCAGATTCCATTCACCAAGTGGATGCTCATAGCGCTACACTATTTTTACCCCGGTCAATGGATCAGTGAGCACTCGATTTTCATTCTCAGCTCCCTGGGGAGTATACAACCCATAGTGTAACGTTTCGTAATATTCGTTTCATTACGCGTCGAATAGATATCTCCATTCTATATATAAGACCTTAGCTTCCGTGCAGCCTTTGTGTGCCCAATAGAACCAGATCCCGTGGTAACAGCTCATAAAATGTTCACCTGAACATGCCATGACCATATTCTGATAGTCATATTAACATAGTTGTTGATTGATACTGCGGCTGTCCGTGTGATTGATTGATAACGGTTACTCATCGTCGTCCTCATCATCACGGTTTGCTCCACGTCAAATACAGCCTAGCGGTCTTTGATATACATATGACTATAAGTGTCGCTTCAAAGTTTGAGTACGTTTCTTGGTTACATTTATCGGGGGGCACGGGTCGTCTAAGGCGCTGCGATTCGCTGTGCAGAGTTGCGTCCCTTGGGCATACCAGAAACCTATGATTGTGAGTTCTAATCCCGAATTGCCCCGATTATGTTTCTAGGTTTGTCAGCACCATACCCGTGCTCGTGGGCTTCACCGAAGTGGTAAACGTCTGAGACCTGCATCACTTCAAGCTTTCCTCCCACATTAATCTGACGCGATATAACTGGAATACTGTTTAAAGCGGCGTTAAAACTCAACTCACTCACCCACTTGTACATTTATAATTTTTTAACTGCAAAATGACATTTAAACGAAACATTGAATTGTATTGATCTCCTGTTACCCTTATTCCGAATAACTGTGCCACGTGTTTTGTGAACTTATCCCAACAGTTGATATGAAAAGAATAATTGCTATATATTGCTACGGCGGCCCATAAGGGACACGGAGTCTGTTTTTCAATATTTTGATATTTCACTAACTGTTATCGTAACCTTTTGCAAATTAACACGATTTGTCTTACAAATATGTGATAAATCATTTGTAAAGAAGATATTGAATCGCTGAAAAACGAAACGAAAATGTCAAAAACTAAAATGAAAATACAGAAAACTATTTCCACCGCGGTGTAAATATTATCACCGCGGTGGAAATAGTTTTCTGTGTATTCATGTTAGTTTTTGACCTTTTCGTTTTGGTTTTTGACATTTCCATTTTAGTTTTTAACATTTTCACTTCACATTTCAGCGACTCAAAAGCTACTTAAAAGTACATTTTCTATGTTTTCGGATGTTTTTATACATGATTTATCACATATATGTATGGCAGATTGTGTTAATTTTCAAAAGGTTAAGATAAAAGTAAGTTAAACATCAAAATATTGAAAAACAGACTCCATGGGCCACCGTATATTGCTATGTTGTTACGCATTGTTGTATTAATGGTAATAACGAGTACACCATTAGAGCTCATAACTATATATGACTGAACGAGAACAGGCACGGTTAAGTTAACATTCCTTGACATATGACGCGTGTATGTCAAAATGACATTGAACACTAATTTGTTAGCCGTTTAGATATGGGTTAATTATAACATTCTGACAAAATATCGATTGTCTCTGTCACAGAGAAATACAACACGTATACATTTATCTAAATATCTAACATAATATGAAGATGCGTTTTCGTATTGAGGGGCGGTCGGGTAGCCTAGTGGTTAAAGCGTTCGCTCGTCACGCCGAAGACCCGGGTTCGATTCCCGATATGGGTACAATGTGTGAAGACAATTTCTGGTGTCCCCCGCCGTGATATTGCTGGAATATTGCTAAAAACTCACTCATTTTCGTATTGACATTCTGATAAAAATTCTTGCATGGCAGTGACTAAATCGAATCAAATGAATACAACCGTGGACTAAATGAGCGTGAATTTTGTAAAGCTTTCTATAACGCAGTACTAAATTTAGATGCATAGAATGTAGAAAATGCAATTACTGCTAACTGATGCTATCTTTGTGACTCAACACGTTTATGAATATATTGATTCCGGTCCATCAATGCATATAGACACAATATTGACAGATTGGAATTGAGCATTATCATATTTGGGTGGCATTAGGATACAAAGGATGTTATTTGTGCAGCTGCTAGGTTCCTTCACGTACAGACCTATTATCATTACACACAAAGGATAGACATAAATCATGGCCCGCCTCTGTGGTCTCTTGGTGGAGCGTCCGTCCGGAGAGCGAAAGATCCCCGCCCGCGTCCTACCAAAAGATGTTAAAGTATGGGACTTGTTGTTACCCCGCCTGGCGTTCAGCAAGGGGCTAAGTCAAGGACTGGTCGACTTGGAGTCAGTTTACTGTGTCTGAGTGGGGTATTCGTCTGCATGGTATCTCGGTGTGCTAGCACTATACAATCGGCATTAGTCCGGACTAGTACAAGAATACACACACGTGCATACACAATCTCATTAAAATCAGATCTTAGTTCCACCTACGCTAAACAAAGATCTGAGCATTCGTGACCAACTCATGTTATTCCGGAACGGAAAGAGGCGAGTGGTGACGAATGAGATCGGAGGACATGCCATTACGGGTCACGTCAGACCGACCTTGCGCGAACTTTGACCGACCAATGAATTGACCAATCAGAAGGGAGCTTTCTCGTGCTTTGCGGCACTAATTTCAAATTGGCGACTTCGCTTCGAAACATATTTTGACAAATTCTCGATTACAAATTTGAAACCTGAACAAAAAAACATTCTGGATTGGCTAATAGATGGTGTAGACTGTATGGATTCTGTCGTTTAACCAGTAACTATCGTTTAGAATAACCCGTGTTAAAGGTTTCGAGGTTGCATGATTAGAAATCACACTCTGACTGTCACTTTCATAATCTGGTAAGCGACGCTCTGATTAGTCGGATGAAAGGTCGTTCTGACGTGACCCCTAATCGATGTCTTCAGATCTTTGTTTAGTGGTAGCGAGAATTGAGGTCTGATTTTAATGAGATTGGTGCATGCACGTCGTTATATAAGTGCAATAATCTTGACGCGACGTTAAAACCCGTTTTACCTCACCTCGCCCGTAACTCACAGCTGTCAGAAAATGCATAGGAAGCCAAAAGAAAGAGTTCATAATACTAACGGGATTCCTGGTCAGTATCCATAGGTGCTATTGAAAACACGTAATAATATATTAATATATTATAAATATTTCCTTGTTTTGTTGTTGGATACTACATAATGCATATTCCTGTTGAATACCATAAATACATAAATGGTTTGTTATCAGTGTCTGAAATGACGTATCATTTATATACCCTTACTAATACGTTTAGTTCAGGTTGGTTGGTTGGTTGGTTGGTTGTTTTACGCCGCATTCAGCAATATTCCAGCTATATGACGGCGGTCTGTAAATAATCGAATCTGGACCAGACAATCCAGTGATTGAAATCATGAGCATCGATCCACGCAATTGGGATCGATGACATGCTGCAACCAAGTCAGCGAGGTTTAGTTTAGGCTGCCAAAGCGGCACGTGTTTTCACGTTTTCGCATTTTCTAGATCAAAAAGCTTCCGTGTGTATCCCTTTCTGCATAGAGCATTGTTGTATTCGGACGATGTGTTTTGCATTGATTTAGTTTGAACTCGTTTGATTTTTTGTAATTTTTGGCCTTTAGTTTATATCGTTTCCTTTGTTTCCTAACAGGACAAGTGTCTGGAGGTGTGTTTATGAGGAGTTCGACCACGATCACTCTGGCTGGGCCTCAAAGCAGGACGTGGTCAATGGCCTGGAGAACTCCCTTGGTATCCCTGTAAAAGGAACTCTCAAAGAAAAGATTGACGCCATGGATGAAAATGGAGATGGAAAAATCTACTACTCGAATTTCCTCCGCATGCAGCTGCACTTGATCCAGAAACAAGGTTCTATCTCACACGACACCAGCACTAACTGAGTCAAAACGAGGCTAAATGGGTCATGACGTCAAGACAACGTCTTGACTTTATAAGAAGATTCTCAACGTGTTCTTTAATGTATTTTGAAGCCTAAATGGTAATAATAATGCACTCTGCTATCAAACGACAAGTTCAACAGTGCAAAACGGATGGTGGAGGGAAAGACGTCAGCTTTTAATAGTTCCAAATGATGCATATATAAACCCGGCTGGCGGGAGAATGTCGCGCGTGTTAACAGAAGTGAATGCCGAATTCACATAAGTCATAGAGGTGCTAAGACAAACACGTTATAGAGTGCATTTTTGCTCATTAATGTTCCAAGTATTTACCAATATTATTACCTTACCTTATACTGCTGATTATGTGTAATCTTTATTTGGTATTTTGATCTTATATGAATGCACTTTTAAAAGGTAAACTTGTAATTGCTCGATTCCCATTCATCAAAATAATATGACTACAATCAGAAAATACAATGCATTCTAACGCGAGTTAATTGCAATTTATGATGAAGACAAAGGGGAATGGTTTAATTTTAGCTGATTTTAAGGCAAGAAAAGTCATTATTGTGGTTTCATACACAGCTAAGTAACATACCTTTTGCAATTATTTCACGTTTCTATGTTAATACCAGGACATAATGCCCACATTACCCTTCAAATACTCGTACCATCAGAAAACATTATACAAGCTACAGTCAGCATCAAGTATTTCACACGAGTGTTTTACAGTCAAAATAGAGGTACCGAATTTTGTCTTTTACTTATAACTTCCATGCTAGCCTACCATATCTTGATGGTTTAGTATATAAATGAAAGTACGTACTAGACTCGGATGATAACATACAATCCATTAAATGTAAAACATATAATTATATATAATAAATATACACAATATAATAAATATAAGGGTGAAATATAAACATTAACATATTTTTACACATTATTATCAAATATTTTATACAAATAGGAAGCAATTTTCAATATATCTCCTGACACCTTCATAATAAATTGAAGTAGAAGAGGAAATCTTAATACATTTCCGTTAGAAATAAGGCTATCATAACTCCCATTGAGAAGTTACGATACCATAACCTTCGCGATACAGAAAGACAAACGTATTTAATAATAAAGTCGATCGGTTACAATACAATAACTCCCATTGAGAAGTTACGATGCCATACTCTTCGCGATATAGAAAGACAAACTTATTCAATAATAAAATCCATCGATTACAATACAATAACTCCCATTGAGAAGTTACGATGCCATACTCTTCGTGATACAGATAGACAAACTTATTCAATAATAAAGTCCATGGATTACAATACAATAATGTTTAAAAGGTTATATCCTTCACGGTACATGTTCTTACTGATGACTTACATGTGTATCCTGATTCATATACTGCGCGAAAATTGATTAAGACAGTACAAGGTCAAGGTGCAAGGTCAAGACACAACCACTCAAAGAACAAAATACTGATGTACCCGTTTATATGAATCTGTTACGCTGCTGTCTTATTGCTAGCTTCGTCTTTGGAATCTGTGGTGATGTTACCGTCATATTGTATGTTTGTACATTTTTTTAACCTTTAAGCTTGAATAAACATTTAATCTTTCTGTTTGTTATTCGTGTTTCCATTTGATATGAGCTGGTGAGAGACAATAACCATACACTACACTTGAGAAGCGCAATGAGTGAGTGAGTGAGTGAGTTGGGTTTTACGCCGCTTTTAACAGTATTCCAGTTATATCGCGGCGTGTCAGCTTAATGTGGGAGGAAAGCCCGAAGTGATGCAGGTCTCAGACGTTTACAACTTCGGTGAAACCCACGAGCAAGGGTATGATGCTGACAAACCTAGAAACATAATCGTGGCGAACCGGGATTCGAACCCACAATCATAGGTTTCTGGCATGCCCAAGGGACGCAACTCTGCACAGCGAGAGAAGCGCAATGGGGATCAACCATTGGATATTCTGGGTGGGTTGGGGGTTTGGGGTGGGGGTTGGGTTTTGGGGAGTCTATGGGTGATACAGGTCTATAACTTGGCACAAGGGTAAAGTTCCCTTTCTTGAAAAGGGGACCGATATTTGGGAGGGGGATATTAGATTTCAGTTAAATCTGCAAAACCAGATATTAAAAAAAAAAATAACTATGTGCCGGAATATTTTTCAAGAAAAAACGCTTGCAACAATGTATTTTTTTCTTCATCAGTCTGCAGCATTATTATTAAATTATCTTGACCCGAGAAATGGGATTCACATAATGTGCCCATGTAGAGAAGAGAGTCCGGGCCTGACGAGCGGACCACCAGACTGCCGTCTCTTGTAGAAGGAGACCAGCCCTCTTTCACCATGGCCCACTTGCACAAAACGATCTTAGCGCTAAGACTATTGTAATCCTATGTTAGAGTATGGGAGTTAAGATCATCTTAGCACTAAAATCGCTTTGTGCAAGTGGACCCTGAACGATCGGTAAGAAACAAGCAGGATGCACGGCAGCTGAGTGTTCATTTGCGCTTCTGCGTCTGGTGTCTGTCAGCATTTTACAGGAGCTCGCCCCGCGACGACTTCGTCCCACATTTGGTGGTCATGTTGTGAAAAAACAGAATCAATGTTCAAACCCTACTCGCTCGCACCGAAACGCACTGCGGCCTTGTAAAACCCACCATGAAGTGATGTTCAAATGATTTTCATAGCGCTTCTTTAACCACGATACCATTGGTGTCTCGTACCATTTTGTCTGACCATGTGCCAACAGAATGATGGAGTGGGTGGGGTTTAACGTTGCTTAGAACAGGTCACCAGAATGAGGGAGTGGGTGAATGAGTTGGGTTTTGACGCAGTTTTGAACAGTTCACCAGAATGAGTGAGTGAGTTTGGTTTAACGCCGCTTTGAACAGCTGACCGGAGTGAGTGAGTGAGTAAGGTTTAACGCCGCTTTGAACAGCTCACAAGAGAATGGGGAAGCTGGAATAGGTCATATCTATTCACCTTTTCCATTTAGGCAAATTAATCAAAACAATTAAATACAATAAAATTGATCTTTCTTGAGTATGATAATGATGCATATCAATAATATACATGTCACTGAAACATCTTAATATAATGAGAGGGCGTGGTTTGATAGACTTGTATTGTGTACTTTTGCACACATTTATTTTTCTGATGATCCTCTTGTGACTGTCAATTTCATACTTTAAACTGTAACACAAGCCGGGTCAATGACAAACACCATATACTGGTAATCAGTGTTCAAATGTCTTGGCGTTCATTTTGATAAAAGATTAAAATGGTCACAACATATAACGCATTTGTACACATTGTCAGGTGTAATAAGATCATAAATCTATTAAAGTGTATTTCAAAAACTATATTAGCTACATGTATGTTTTTGCTTTTCAAGGGGGCACGGGTGGCCCAGTCGTCTAAGCCGCCGCGATTCGCTGTGCAGAGTTGCGTCCCTTGGGCATGCCAGAAACCTATGATTGTGGGTTCGAATCCCGGTTCGCCACGATTATGTTTCTAGGTTTGTCAGCACCATACCCTTGCTCGTGGGTTTTACCGAAGTGGTAAACGTCTGAGACCTGCATCACTTCGGGCTTTCCTCCCACATTAAGCTGACACGCCGCGATATAACTGGAATATTGTTAAAAACGGCGTTAAACCCAACTCACTCACTCATTATTGCTTTTCAAGGCCCTGATCTTATCCAGACTTAGTATGGTTGCCTGTTCTTATGTCTACGTCTTAATGTCAACTTAATAAGCTTGACCGCATTAAGTCCACAGCTTTGACAAAATGCAGCAACTCCAATATCAACTCTTCAAGTTGAGTGGGTTCAGAGGTGAATCTTCACCTTCGTAGACATCAGGTATCTAAGCAAAACTTCCTAAAAAATAAAGACTACCGTATTCGACGTAATAAGCGCCCAGGACGCTATTAAAATTAGAAATAGTGAGGCTCTTTGACAGCCCGAAATGTTTAAGTACGACAGATATATTTTTCCAGAATTTAATTGTCCATAATTAACGGTGCATATAACACACGAGTGTGTATTATACGCGAATAAATAAGTCTTGTGTACATTTATCATTCGGAAGGGGTGCTAATTGGGATTGTTCTCTAGCCAATATATTAGCAAATAACGCCGTGGGCGCTTAAATTAGAGCGAGGCGCTTATTACGTCGTGTACTGTAAGTGCAAGAATCATGCAGTCACAGACATCGTGGAGTATATCATGTGTAACTTATCTCTCGGCAAATTCCCTTTCGGTTTAAAGTACAGTATGGTCTTTAAAATGATCAACCAGTTCATCATTTTGCTCGTCACGCCGAAGACCCGGGTTCGAATCCCGACATGGGTACAATGTGTGAAGCCCATTTCTGGTGTCCCCCGCCGTGATATTGCTGGAATATTTCTCAAAGCGGCGTAAAACCAAACTCACTCACTCACTCATCATTTTGCTCCGCCTGTCACATCCCTTATCAAATCACAACAATATGGACCAAAACATGATAAAAGCAATAAATCAAGACCTTCTGTCTGAACGTTATTATACTTTCACACCCATATACTGATGCATCATCAGAGTCATTCACTCTTCGTACTGCCGATTTCTCCATCTCTAAAATGTTTAGATTCCATGATTAACGTTTAGTATTTTGCAGATAAATTTTTATCCATTTTGCAAGCGCTGAGGCGGGCAGATGAATACGACCATAAAGCAGTTATCTTTACAGATGCCATTCGCAGCAATTAAAGAAGCAATAGAAGCCGGCGCAAATGGATCCGACCGCCTCCGTGGTCTAGTGGTAGAGCGTCCGCCCGATGAGCGGAAGGTCCGGGGTTCGATTCCCGGCCGCGTCATACCAAAAGACGTTAAAAGGTGGTACTTGTTATTACCCTGTCTGGCGCTCGGCATTAAGGGGCTAAAACAAGGACTGGTCGGCTCGGAGTATACTGTGTCTGTGTCTGTTTGACATCATGAGCTGACTTGAATGATGGCATGTCATCGATCCCAAATGCGTGGATCGATGCTCATGATATCAATCACTGGATTGTCTGGTTCAGACTAGATTATTTACAGACCGCCGTCATATAGCTGGAATATTGCTGAGTGTGGCGTTAAACAACAAACCAAACCAAACTAAACTTGAAAATTTGAAAAGAGTTTTGGCAAGCTGGATGAGAAACAATTTAACATTAATTGGTTAAATTACGTTTATCAAAACACTTGCATTGTCAGCATACTTTACGTCAATGCCGAATCCGCCAGATAGTTTCATAAAAACGCGAAATTTTCTATAACTTCCTCTGGAACGACAAACCTGATAATAGAAATACAGCGAAAATATACTACTTTCGAATCCGCATTTTTTAAAGAAGGAGCTCGTATCAATATGCATTATCATGTCGATAACCCATTTTGGAGAGACGTTTTAAATACTTGGGCAAAGTTCTACACTAAGCATGAAATATCTAATGTGGATGATCTTGATGAAATAATTATGGAGCCTCTGTGGCGTAATACTCACTTTAAAGATTCCGACTTTGTGATAAACAGTTTGGTGAATAAGAAGATAAATCAAATTAAAGACATATGTAACGAAAATGGTTTAACGAATTTCCAGGAGTTGAAGGATAACTTTTAAGGGTACTTTTTTAGATTATAACAAATTGTTGATGAACATCCCTCCATAACGGAGGACAAAATAACAAACGCCCACAATTTGAACCTCTACAATATAGGTGTTCCAAGAGCATGTCTGGCACTACCATTAACATCAAATCAAAGTAAAGGAGGTAGACAATTTTATGATATCTTTATTAAAACTGGTAATGTTCCCCATGTATGCTGTAAATGACAAAGACAACTAACAGAGCCTTTTCTCGAAGGATATCTTTAATCAATATTGAAAAGACCGCCTCCGTGGTCCTGTGGTAGAGCGTCCGCCCGATGAGCGGAAGGTCCGGGGTTCGATCCCCGGCCGCGTCATACCAAAAGACGTTAAAAGATGGTACTTGTTGTTACCCTGTCTGGCGCTCGGCATTAAGGGGCTAAAACAAGGACTGGTCGGCTCGGAGTCAGTATACTGTGTCTGAGTGGGGTATTCATGTTAAACTGCGGCGTGGTATCTCAGTGAGCTAGCACTATAAATCGGCATCAGTCCGGACTAGAACAAGCAGCCACACAAACACATACACGTACATGGACGTCGCTATATAAAGGCAATAATCTTGGACGCGACGTTAAACCCAATTTCACCTCAATATTGAAAATGTACAAGAAAAACAAATTAATAGAATTCCAGTATAAATTTTACATTATTATTATGATATTATACATTAATATACCACGGGTATCCAGGTACTAGTATCTGCTCAAATGCGGTTTTATTTGTTCCCCGACCAGTGGATCCGTTTGCATTCCAGTTATCATTCTCAACTCCATCGGGAGTATACAATCCAAGCTGCCAAGGGGCACTGGAAGATGTTTACATCCACCTCACATACCGGGTACCCATACCCTGCTGGGTGAACAGAGGCACATTTGAACTGAGTCACTTGCCGAGTGTGACACCATAAGTTTTGACACTTGTGTTTCGGGTGTACACTCTTTAAAAAAAGAAACGCACAGGTAGTATGTAGTTATATAAAATCCGGTATATAAATTGGATATATGTTATTGGAAAATGTTGGTGGCCTGATATTCGATAAACGGTGCGTCAAAACGCAGCCATTGTCGATTTGCAATGTCTTAAACGGCATTGTTTCACACTTGTTCAAAAATATCATGGTGGAAAACAGTAAAGCAAAATGCACGTGCAAGTTATGGCATTTGTTACTCGTGGTAGTGGCTATAAAAAGACAAGCATAAGCCAATAAGCATAAGCCAATAAGCATAAGCCAATAAGCATAAGCCAATAAAGGTCGAAACTCAGCGCTGCCGATCTTAACATCGCCATAGGACGTATCCAAAGAGGGAAATCGCAGTGTTCTGTTGCACGCCACTTGAACGTCCACCACAGCACCAGTTGCCGCTTTGTGACCGATACACACAATTCAATTTCACTGCGGACCGTCCGAGAACCGGCCGACACAAAGTTACCACCCCTGCACAGGATCGCTACATTCGACCGTTCCACCGACGTTATCGCAATGCCACAACTACGGAGACTGCAGGACGCATCCCTGGTTTGAGGACCAGACTGTCAGGAACCATCTTCGCGAGGCTGGAATAGATCCATCGAAAGCGACGCTAGTGTTGGTGCCATACCTTACAGCCTTGGAATTTGAGAAACTGGAGACGAGTGTGGTTTAGCGATGAATCACGATTTCCTCGTCACCGGCGAGATTGAAGACAACGTGTTTATCGTCGTCGAAATGAGCGTTTTCCCCCACATTGTGTACCTGAATTCGAAATTTTCGGTGGCGGTAGTGTCATGGTGTGGCTTCATAACCTGTGTGGGGGCACGGGTGGCCCAGTCGTCTAAGGCGCCGCGATTCGCTGTGCAACGTAGCGTTCCTTGGGCTCGCCAGAAACATATGATTGTGGGTTCGAATCCCAGTTCGCCCCGATTATGTTTCTAGGTTTGTCAGCATCAGATCCGTGCTCGTGGGTTTCACCGAAGTGGTAAACGTCTGAGACCTGCATCACTTCGGGCTTTCCTCCCACATTAAGCTGACACGCCGTGAATACTGTTAAAAGCGGCGTTAAACCCAACTTACTCACTCACTCATTACCTGTGTACTGTTTGTTATTCTTACTGTTCTGGCTTCATCCAATCATCTGTGTGCTACTTGTTATCTATTACCTGTTATTATTGTAATCTGCTGCTTATCACAGCATATCATGTATATAACAATGATTAAGACAGAAAAGAAAATGGCAAAATGGAAATATGTTTTATTACAAGTGTTATGAATAAGTTTTCCATGTAAATAATCCTATCTTTATATATCAATTGAAAGCTCGTTAATCCGTTGGATTCTATTCACGTTGATATCGTTGCTCGATATTCTCATTTAACAGTACTGTAAGAGGGTTTCTGGTATATAGAAAATTGATATATGCCAACATGGATAAAACATCAATGTTTGATGGTGGCTAAAAATAAAACAAACAAGAGATGGTGATGTATTTGATGCGAGTATCATGGTTGTGCTTTGGACCTTAAGTTTGCAGTGTATCGGCAACTGTTTTCAGCCAAGTAACAATTTGAGAACATTTGTAATTTGGGGGTCAGTCACTCCAATTTACAAGTATATACTGCCTAAAAAATGAACCACCTATAATTTAAAAAATCAACCAACAAATGTTGACCTTCATTTCGCTGACGTAACAAGTATATGTCAACAATAGCAATTCACTGAAAAGAACTGTACGTCACACAATCGGCTTGGGAGAATGACACACGCCCTTGGTCCACCAAGAAAACACGTCTTCATAAACGTTTCTATATTTCTCCGGTTCTAGGAGCTTCATGCAAACTTCACAAGTGGGATTTGGTTTCTCCACAACAAAATAATATTTTCTCCATTCTAAATATTCCAGATATGCAGTCATATTTTTATCGAGGTAATTAAGATATTTGCCAAGCTCAGCCACGGTGCTGAAATCATCAGCGTTTATAAACGACTTGGGCGGCATGTATTTAGTATAATTGACAAATCCCCTTACAACTGGCACCACATCTGCCACCATGATCTTCCGGAACAGCTTCTCCGTCACATAGTCCAAGCACAGCGTGTTCTCAAATGACAAATAAAACTTATAATCGTTAGTCAACATTTGTAAACACTCAAAACTGCCTTCCTTTCCACAAGGTAGACCACACATGCCAAACGTATCCACACCGATATGTTGTTTCAGGAGTCTCACATAATCCTCTCTTTTACTGTCGGTTTCACAATGGCTCACAACCCATGCAACCTTCTTGGTTTTCTTTTCTGCGAGAGAAGTGTAGTCCGTTGTAAGAAAATCCCCCCGTCTATTAACACGGCCATAGGGATAAAAGATGTCCGAATCCGATCTGTAGGTCATGGTCCAGTTAATCTGACCATGCCATTCGGGTTTCTCGAATGCCTGGGACAACGAATAAGATGGACTCTCCAGAGAGAGGAAAATCCATACCTGGCCGTGAGCTCGCACGGGTATGGTCCTGAAATACCCAACAGCATAGAAAATGATGGCGTCGGCCATTTGAATTTGGGACGTGTCGGCCGTCAAGGTACATTCAACGGGACAGTCTGTTAATCCCACGTCTCCCATTCTGATCCAGTCCCAACCGGGGTTATTTACCACCACGATTCGCTTGCGTCCCAATTTGGGTTTCGGAGATTTGGGCACTACTTTGTCGCCATTTTGGCGATTTGCCATCCTTGTTACTGGTTGTACATAAGGGTTGATATTATTTATCATTTTCCCTGAGGGATGAGGTGGGAGGACACTTAATGTCCACGCCAAGGGGTCTTCATTCGTTATTTTGTAAACATCCACATTGTCCAGAAACTGGCTTGGTCTCTCCCATTTCGGTGGTGTTACTCTTGGTGGATTCTGCGCAATACCAGATTTGTAAACCCGGAATGGTAGATCGACGTGGTCTCCCATTCTGATCCAGTCCCAACCGGTGTTATTTACCACCACGATTCGCTTCCGTCCCAACTTTGGTTTGTTCGGAGATTTCAGCACTACTTTGTCGTCATTTTGGCCGGTTGCTATTCTTGTTACTGGTTGTACATAAGGGTTGATATTATTTATCATTTTCCCTGAGGGATGAGGTGGGAGGACACTTAATGTCCCCGCCAATGGGTCTTCATTCGTTATTTTGTAAACATCCACATTGTCCAGAAACTGGCGTGGTCTCTCCCATCTCGATGGTGTTACACTTGGTGGATTCTGCGCAATACCGGAATTGTACACCCGGATTGGTACACCGACGTGGAAGGCAATCAGTGTCAACAGCGTCAGAGCCAAAAGGATCCATAATACAGTGCGTCGCCGAAGAAACCTCCCATTACTGAAAATACAAAGTTCATATGTTTGTTAGGATGAGGGAGAAACAAGCTGAAGAAATACGGAGGAAGACTTAACAAGCAAAACATGTTACTGGAATGTTACCTACTACTGACTAAGCCAGTGATGGAGTCGCATAGAAACACCCAGGCCGCCCTTACACGTCGTCTTCCAGTCATCCTAAAGGATGCAAGATTCAAACTAAAATGTGACCTACATGCATATCTGCATGCGACACCAGTAGAATATCTATCTGTGAATTGTGGTTAAAAGTATCCCGAGAATCCACGACATGGTGAGGACCAACCGACCGGCGAACGACTGAACGACTTCCCAGGAGAGAGTACATTCCATTATAAGAAATACTGGGATATGAAGAAAGTATCAGCTCTTTGGGTTCCAAAGTTTCTGACATCTGCTAAAAAAACGCACCAGGCACAACAAGTTTTGTGATAATCTAGCTCTGTTTGAGGCTGATTCAGAAAGATTCTTGCAACGATTTGTTACTGTGCATGAAACCTGGGTTCACCACTTCCACTCCAAAAGGCTGCAAATAATGGATCACTGCACGTTCCTCAAGGCGTCACAGGCCCTTGCTTAATTGACTCACGTTGTTGTGAGTGGCTATAAGTCTATGACACCTTGTAGTGGCTAAAACTCTATGACACCTTGTAGTGGCTATAATTCTATGACACCTTGTAGTGGCTATAACTCTATGGCACCTTGTCGTGGCTATAACTCTATAGCACCTTGAAGTGGCTATATCTCTATGACACCTTGTAGTGGCTATAACTCTATGACACCTTGAAGTGGCTATATCTCTATGACACCTTGAAGTGGCTATATCTCTATGACACCTTGTAGTGGCTATAACTCTATGACACCTTGTAGTGGCTATATCTCTATGACACCCTGAAGTGGCTATATCTCTATGACACCTTGTAGTGGCTATAACTCTTTGCCACCTTGTAGTGGCTATAACTCAATGACACCTTGTAGTGGCTATAACTCTATGACACCTTGCAGTGGCTATAACTCTATGACACCTTGTAGTGGCTATAACTCTGTGACACCTTGTAGTGGCTATAACTCTATGACACCTTGTAGTGGCTATAACTCTATGACACCTTGAAGTGGCTATAACTCTATGACACCTTGAAGTGGCTATATCTCTATGACACCTTGTAGTGGCTATAACTCTATGACACCATGGAATCTCCACAACAATGATTTTACAATTATGTTATACCTTCTATGTGAGACTCTTATCAATCAACCCCCGTATGACCTCGGTCTGTAAATAATCGAGTTTGGACCAGACACTCCAGTGATTGGTATTATGAGCAAAATCCGCAGCCGTTGGGATACGATGACACGCAATCAACCAAATGACCCTTGCCTGACAACAGATCTATAAAGCCGCCCCTTACAATAAGCATAGGTTAGTAAGACCAATTCTATTCGGGAAGTATTTTCATTGTGAAAATTGCAATATTATTTCAATTTATATGTATGTCATTGTCGAGAAACAAACTGATAATGATGTTATTGTCGAAAACCATATCAATAAAAGAGAAGATGCTATTACGATCCTTTGTAAATAGTGTGTTTGTTTAACGACTCACTCAGCAATATTCCAGCTATATGACGTCTGAATCCAATGTAGGTTAGAACATGACATAATTATTTGATTGATGACATATTTGGTGAAATCTGATTATTCAATAAAGTATTAACAATGTAAACCTTAGCAGAAAACTAGAACGGAGCGTGGTGCTTTTAGAGTAAATAGGAAGGGTTCAAGCAAATACCCCCGGCCCACCACACATGCTTGATGTGTACACACACGACCCATATCGATTGTATGCGTGTGGCCAGAGCAATAGAAACCAAAGCATCTGTTTCGTCAACACATCGTTGAGTGACATCGGCGGTTTGCTTTTGTAGCAAAGGGAGGAAAGTCTTACCGTTTTAATAAAACTTATCGACATTGTACGAAAATTGCTGAAAACGGTAGTCCTAAATGTTATTATAAATAAGAATCCGGAGCCTAAATGAACAGAGTTATAAAAAGGATATTTCGATATTTCGAAATGAGTGAAGGTGAACACGTTAACTTGTCGCACGTCTGGTCTTTAAACGTTATGCATAAAGGATCCTGAGGTTGTAGTCGGTATACCCTGTCCCGTGCAGGGCAGTGTTTTATATAAGTGAGTGAGTATGGTTTTACGCCGCTTTTAGCAATATTCCAGCAATATCACGGCGGGGGACACCAGAAATGGGCTTCACACATTGTACCCATGTCGGGAATCGAACCAGGGTCTTTCGGCGTGACGAGCGAACGCTTTAACCACTAGGCTACCCGACCGCCCCTTGTTTTATATAAATGTTTGATTGGCATTCTAGAAGTTGGTGAGTAAATAAGAAAACAAACAACTTTATGGATAACAACTTCTGGTTTATTACATTGAGCGACGTTTTACAAAGTCCAAATCCTCGCAATAAAACATCAGGACTTGACCAAAAATGAAAACTCTCGGAAGCCTTAGAAATCCGACGTCACAAATCTTGGATGAACAGAAATCAAGGGTATTACATCCCGTCTGTCTAATCAAGATTTTGTTTAGTCCTCAATCAGCTTGTTCAACTATTTTAAGTAGTAACCAATGAGCTTATTCAACTTTTTAAAAATGATTTTCATCTTTACTGTATACTAGTATTTGGCTTCATTACCTGTGTGGGGGCACGGGTGGCCCAGTCGTCTAAGGCGCCGCGATTCGCTGTGCAACGTAGCGTTCCTTGGGCTCGCCAGAAACAAATGATTGTGGGTTCGAATCCCGGTTCGCCCCGATTATGTTTCTAGGTTTGTCAGGATCAGATCTGTGCTCGTGGGTGTCACCGAAGTGGTAAACGTCTGAGACCTGCATCACTTCGGGCTTTCCTCCCACATTAAGCTGACACGCCGTGAATACTGTTAAAAGCGGCGTTAAACCCAACTTACTCACTCACTCATTACCTATGTACTGTTTGTTATTCTTACTGTTCTGGCTTCATCCAATCATCTGTGTGCTACTTGTTATCTATTACCTGTTATTAATGTTAATCTGCTGCTTATCAAAGCATATCATGTATATAACAATGATTAATAAAGAAAAGAAAATGGCAAAATGGAAATATGTTTTATTACAAGTGTCATGAATAAGTTTTCCATGTAAATAATCCTATCTTTATATATCAATTGAAAGCTCGTTAATCCGTTGGATTCTATTCACGTTGATATCGTTGCTGGATATTCTCATTTAACAGTACTGTAAGAGGGTTTCTGGTATATAGAAAATTGATATATGCCAACATGGATAAAACATCAATGTTTGATGGTGGCTAAAAATGAAACAAACAAGAGATGGTGATGTATTTGATGCGAGTATAATGGTTGTGCTTTGGACCTTAAGTTTGCAGTGTATCGGCAACTGTCTAAGCCAAGTAACATTTTGATAACATTTGTAATTTGGGGGTCAGTCACTCCAATTTACAAGTATATACTGCCTTAAAAATGAACCACCTATAATTTAAAAAATCAACCAACAAATGTTGACCTGCATTTCGCTGACGTAACAAGTATATGTCAAACAATAGCAATTCACTCAAAAGAACTGTACGTCACACAATCGGCTTGGGAGAATGACACACGCCCTTGGTCCACCAAGAAAACACGTCTTCATAAACGTTTCTATATTTCTCCGGTTCTAGGAGCTTCATGCAAACTTCACAAGTGGGATTTGGTTTCTCCACAACAAAATAATATTTTCTCCATTCTAAATATTCCAGATATGCAGTCATATTTTTATCGAGGTAATTAAGATATTTGCCAAGCTCAGCCACGGTGCTGAAATCATCAGCGTTTATAAACGACTTGGGCGGCATGTATTTAGTATAATTGACAAATCCCCTTACAACTGGCACCACATCTGCCACCATGATCTTCCGGAACAGCTTCTCCGTCACATAGTCCAAGCACAGCGTGTTCTCAAATGACAAATAAAACTTATAATCGTTAGTCAGCATTTGTAAACACTCAAAACTGCCTTCATTTCCACAAGGGAGACCACACATGCCAAACGTATCCACACCGATATGTTGTTTCAGGAGTCTCACATAATCCTCTCTTTTACTGTCGGTTTCACAATGGCTCACAACCCATGCAACCTTCTTGGTTTTCTTTTCTGCGAGAGAAGTGTAGTCCGTTGTAAGAAAATCCCCCCGTCTATTAACACGGCCATAGGGATAAAAGATGTCCGAATCCGATCTGTAGGTCATGGTCCAGTTAATCTGACCATGCCATTCGGGTTTCTCGAATGCCTGGGACAACGAATAAGATGGACTCTCCAGAGAGAGGAAAATCCATACCTGGCCGTGAGCTCGCACGGGTATGGTCCTGAAATACCCAACAGCATAGAAAATGATGGCGTCGGCCATTTGAATTTGGGCCGTGTCGGCCGTCAAGGTACATTCAACGGGACAGTCTGTTAATCCCACGTCTCCCATTCTGATCCAGTCCCAACCGGGGTTATTTACCACCACGATTCGCTTCCGTCCCAATTTGGGTTTCGGAGATTTGGGCACTACTTTGTCGCCATTTTGGCCATTTGCCATCCTTGTTACTGGTTGTACATTAGGGTTGATATTATTTATCATTTTCCCTGAGGGATGAGGTGGGAGGACACTTAATGTCCACGCCAATGGGTCTTCATTCGTTATTTTGTAAACATCCACATTGTCCAGAAACTGGCGTGGTCTCTCCCATCTCGGTGGTGTTACACTTGGTGGATTCTGCGCAATACCGGATTTGTAAACCCGGATTGGTACATCGACGTGGTCTCCCATTCTGATCCAGTCCCAACCGGTGTTATTTACCACCACGATTCGCTTCCGTCCCAACTTTGGTTTGTTCGGAGATTTGGGAACTACTTTGTCGTCATTTTGGCCGGTTGCTATTCTTGTTACTGGTTGTACATAAGGGTTGATATCATTTATAATTTTCCCTGAGGGATGAGGTGGGAGGACACTTAATGTCCACGCCAATGGGTCTTCATTCGTTATTTTGTAAACATCCACATTGTCCAGAAACTGGCGTGGTCTCTCCCATCTCGATGGTGTTACACTTGGTGGAATCTGCGCAATACCGGATTTGTACACCCGGATTGGTACATCGACGTGGAAGGCGATCAGTGTCAACAGCGTCAGAGCCAAAAGGGTCCATAATACAGTGCGTCGCCGAAGAAACCTCCCATTACTGAAAATACAAAGTTCATATGTTTGTTAGGATGAGGGAGAAACAAGCTGAAGAAAATACGGAGGAAGACTTAACAAGCAAAACATGTTACTGGAATGTTACCTACTACTGACTAAGCCAGTGATGGAATCGCATAGAAACACCCAGGCCGCCCTTACACGTCGTCTTCCAGTCATCCTAAAGGCTGCAAGATTCAAACTAAAATGTGACCTACATGCATTTCTGCATGCGACACCAGTAGAATATGTATCTGTAAATTGTGGTTGAAAGTATCCCGAAAATCCACAACAAGGTGAGGACCAACCGACCGGCGAACGACTGATCGTAGCTGGTTCAGTTGGCACTTCCCAGGAGAGAGAACATTCCATTATAAGAAATACTGGGAATTGAAGAAAGTATCAGCTCTTTGGGTTCCAAAGTTTCTGACATCTGCTAAAAAAACGCACCAGGCACAACATGTTTTGTGATAATCTAGCTCTGTTTGAGGCTGATTCAGAAAGATTCTTGCAACGATTTGTTACTGTGCATGAAACCTGGGTTCACGACTTCCACTCCAACAGGCTGCAAATAATGGATCACTGCACGTTCCTCAAGGCGTCACAGGCCCTTGCTTAATTGACTCACGTTGTTGTGAGTGGCTATAAGTCTATGACACCTTGTAGTGGCTATAACTCTATGACACCTTAGTGGTTGAAAATATAGGAGTTTGAGTTTTGCCTTGCGCCTTGCGGTCACTGAAGCGGAAACAATTGAAATCACTGAAGCCAAAACAATAGAAATCCGTGTAGGAGTTCGAGAATCACTGAAGCGGTAACAGAAGCAATGTACTGGCTCATAGTTTTCACAACATACCTTGACATTCCTTTCGTTTCCATATAACTTAAAGGTGAAATAGAAACTAGGTTGTTGGAAATTCCCAAATGTGTGCTTAAAAAGGTTGGAATTTGTATTATAACACAGTTAGTCTCTGACATGCAGTGAGAATGGAAGGAGATCTCTGTACAGATTCAGTACCTTGTAAGTCTATTGTGGTGTCCACAGACTGGACCCTGTTTGAAAGAAGACTATCTTCGTTTAAAGACTGGCCAAAGCAAATGAGTCAATCTCCAGTTGATTTGGCCCATGCTGGATTTATCTACTTGAACTGTGGCGACGTCTGCCGTTGCTTTAAATGCAACATACGTCTTAAAGGATGGGAAGACAATGACAACGTTTGGATTGAGCACGAGAAGTGGTCACCAGACTGTGCCTATATCAAAATGGTTGGTGTCATGAAGAAAAAGAAGACCACACCTTGTGAAGCAATGAAGTGGAAACTGTGTTAGAAGATAAATATTCAACCAATGACAATACATGATGTTTTCATAAGAATGTCCTATGTTCAAAGTCATCCAATCAGCTTTCTAGAAGTTGTGTTGACAAAGAGACAACAGCACATCAACATGTTCATCCAATAGATTTAAAGGGGAAGTGTACACGCAATAATCACTTTTTTTCCTTTTTCTAAACAAAACGCAATTTTAGAATAAGTTAGTATCTGTGTTTGAAAATATACACTCATTTTTTTCACAGTGAAAGTAGGAAGCTCACAATAGTGTGAAAATGGTATGCCGTAATGAGGCCTTCGTTTTTCGAGCTAAACAGGCCTGAGTTATCCCCCTTAGATTATGACGTAATTGGTGCCAATTCAACTGGGTCCGTGTCTATTCTATAACGCAAAAGATATCAAGTACAAGTTTTCGGTAAAACAACATTGCCTACGACACACTCCGGCGCAGTGGTGACTCAGCATAACACTATGCTGGCTCTCATCTGAGACGCTAGAATCACACACCTGTACCTACACCACGTGAAGCGGCTCTAACAAACCATGATGACGTCATAATGTTTATCAATTGGCACCAATGACGTCATATTGCAAGGGGCATAAGCCATGGTGTTTTTGTTATGGAAATAGAACACTTGGTAAATGTGAAAAATATAAATCGTTTTAATGCAAAACATATGTTAATTAATTGTGATATTTTTATTTTTTTGTCTATGACACTTCTAGGTTTACACTTTTATTGTGGAAAAAGTACAAGAAAATTAGGTTCATTTCCGTGTGAACTTGCCCTTTAAAAAAATCTTAGTTATTGGCATGACATATCATACATTAATGTGATACGTCAGTCATTTTCATAGCTGTACTCGTTTTGGAAGGTTGTGTTTGACTTGCACGGTCATGTCTATGCTGATAACCAACAAGTATGTATTTTTCTATACTAAAAGATCGCCTTTCAGTCAACATTATCCAACGCTTATTACACTTGATGGCAAGACATTCAATTGTGTTGAACAATATTACATGTATAGCAAAGCTTGTGCATTCAAAAGATTTTAGAATGTCCTTCCCCTACTGAGCAAAAAACCCACAAAAAAAACAAAACAATTTGGATCATGACAGAGTATATTTCTTCTTCTTTGACAGACATCAAACCATGTTCTACACATGGAAGTATGTGATGCGTGAACCAGATCGATTAGACGAATCCATCATCATTCAGTTGTCTCAGTGGTTTCAGGACCGCGAGCAATGTGTTCAAGATGCCAAACATAACTTTCAAGATGACACTAAAACAAGTAAACGCGTGATTATCAAGAAACTGTGGCCAACAAAGCTTCAAGTGGATGAAGTTGATGCAGTTCACACTATCCATCATATCGAGTCTTTATTAACTTTATGCTATACATTTGAGTTAAGTAAGATCATCAGACGACTCTCTACAGAATTTTGCTTTGGCTGCATGTTTGAACAGGAAGGAGAACCTGTTCATACTTGTCGTGACCTGTCTGAAGAGAACAAAGTTCAACACTATTTTAATATGGCCTTGTTGGAAGTCAGTGATGATCACGTGATTGGAAACTGGATAAACCTGATTCGAGATGACCCTGACTTACAGTCCGTGTCTCCCCTTACCTTGTGTCAATATCAATGTAAAGATTACAGAGATGTCTATTTTAAGACACCCCTATGGGTCTCAGATGTAAGAAAACGTCTTGTAAAAATGTTGCAACTAGAAAGAGTTTTCCAATAAACATAATGTAGAATCATATGATCTTTTGTTGTCTCACATATATGAAAGGTATAGAACATGTCTCATGTCATTTGTTTCATGACTATGGATTCGCACACATTACCAACTGATAACCAAAGCAAAGAACTGGAGCAGTATTATTTTACTCCCAAGGAAAGTGGTGCCTATTATGGGTTGAATAAATTTCAATCAAGTTTAAAACAGCGAGGTAAAAAGTATAGTCGCAGGAAAGTGAAAGCCTTTCTGGAAGGACAGGATGCATACACCCTTTATAAACCCGTGAAAAGGCACTTTCCAAGACTGAAAGTACGTGTCAACAGCTTGGATGAGCTTTGGGACATAGATCTCGCCCAGGTGACACAGAATAATGTCAGTGTCAATGACAATGTGAGGTATTTGCTGATAGCCATAGATATTTTGTCACGATATCTGTGGGTGGTACCTCTCCAAAATAAGAAACCTGAATCGGTGTTAGAAGGGTTCAATGTCATTTTGAAAGAGGGACGAATTCCCAAAAAGATCAGAGTAGACAAAGGTAAAGAATTTGAAGGTGTTTTCAAAGATTACGTCACAAAGCAAGGCATTAAGCTGATCGTGACACAAAATGAAGACATCAAAGCTAATTATGCAGAAAGTGTGATTCGAACCTTGAGATCTCTCATGACCAGGTACATGACACACAACAACACCAACAAATACATTGATGTGTTACCCGACTTAGTGTACAATTATAATCACACGGTACACCGAAGTCTTGGACAATGGACACCAGCTGATGTGACAAAAGCCAATGAAGTGCAAGTGTGGTCTCATTTGTACATGAAACCTCTCCAGACACAGTTGCAAAGCAAACAGAAATTTAAGAAATTTCAATTTAAAGTCGATGACCTGGTGAGAATCAGTTATTTGAAGAAACCTTTCAGCAGACAACACAATTTACAATACACTGAGGAGTTATTTAAAATAGTCGCTCGCCAGCGACGCCAGGGGATACCACTGTACACACTTAAAGACTTTCATGACGAAGTGTTAAAGGGGCGCTTTTACGAACAGGAGCTCCAGAAAGTCAACAAAGACATAGATGGTATTTGGAACATTGAAAAAGTGATCAGTAAAAAGCAAGAGAAAGGTAAAGTGTATTACCTGGTGAGGTGGGCTGGATGGCCTTCCAGTTTTGACTCATGGGTAGAGAAGAGTCAGGTACAGAATAAACAGTAAACCCCCCCCAAAAAAAACAACAACAAACAAACAAACAAAAAGAAAAAGAAAAAGAAAAAGAAAACACACACAAAAAAAACACAAAAAAACCCACAAAACATGGATAAATATATTGTGTTTAACAGTTCAGATTCTAAAAAACATTACTTTTCCAGTAACACACCCTATAGTTTTCGTGTCAAGCTATCCCAACGTCTGCACTTGGATGGGACGTGGTTGGTGGCTTTAGCCGAACTTCGATTTGGTAAAGTAGACTTGAAAGACATCAATAACCCGACCATTGACATTCTCTGCAATCTGTGTGACAGTTCATGCGCTGGTGAAGACTACATCCCTTTATTGAGACGTATTGACTTGAGAGATGGACCCACCTATGATTTTCGTCACTGGTGGTTTGTACCAGTGGTGGTGAAAGACACACACGACATAGAAATCTATATAAGGTGTGCACAAGGAACACAGCATTCATTTCTGAAGGAAGACGTGAATGTGGCACTTGTTCTGCGTCACTATCCCTTTGTGTAATCCTTGTCATGGATCAAAGACTGTATATTCCTGATGTCCAGAAATGGATCAAATTCTTTGAACATAGACATCAACAACAGGCAACTAAATCTATTATGAAAGGTCGCCCCAGGAGAACAATGATTCCCATTCTCTCCTTGCAAAAGCAGCTGGATACTCCCTGTAGTAAAGCAGAGCCTA